AAAAGATACAATATAAAATACAAAAGGTTTACATATATACTTAATTCCAAATCACTGAATCAAGGATATCCCATGGGCGGGGATGATGACAAAAAGGAAAAAGCAGAAAAATGAAGAAACGAAACCTGTTGTCACAGACTTGATATGATATTGAAACTCATGTATATATAATAACTAAAAATATGAATTAAATCTTCATTTGTTGATGCATCTAAATCATCTTTTCCGAAAAGTAAAAATTGTAATTTATTTATCATTCAAATTGTAGCTGTTAAACAGGTTTCCTAAATTGTAAGTATGAAGGCCTGCAATGAGGTTGATTCTTTCATCATGGAGCAGTGGGCAATTTAAAAGAAAATGCAAGGAAGTCAATGGAACACCACATTTACACAAAGGGTCACTAATGTCATTAAAGTTATGTGCATAAAGGTGTGCTTTAAGTAAAAAGCCACACCTGAGTCTATTAAATGGTGTTTCAAGATGTCTGGGTAAGGTAACATTCAGTTTAGAGGTTGGAATTAAAGAGACTGGGCTCTTGTGTTCTCTTACTAATCTTTTAAACCTAGAAATAGGTTGACCCATTCTAGTATCTGATGGCAAATTATCCCATAAAATTATAGATTGGAAGATGGTAGTTTTTTTAAAAGAGAAGCTAAGGCGAGTTGGTAGAACATAATCTCTTTGATGTCTTAAGGGGCGGACCGGTATATGTTCATATTTCCGAAGTAAATCACAAATAAATGGAGGATTAATGTTACACCTGCATTTAAAAGTAAACATGTTTAAGTGCTCAATTCTTCTGGTTGTTAACGGTTTCCAGTTTAAAGAGTTTAAAACTTTGATAGTATTTGAACCATGTATAGCCTCAGAAACCAGGCAAGCTGCTCTGTAGTGAAGTCTTTCAAGAGCTTGTCATTTTATGTTAGATGCCTTGTTGTAATAGTCAAAATGAGGCATAATGTAAGTATTATATAATATCTCTAAGTGCTGACTATTGTTAATTTTACTCAGCTTCATCATCGGCCTCAAAAGAGAAGTAATTCTTTTTATAATCTGGTCAATGTGATAATTAAAGTTAAGGTGATTGTCAAAATTAAGGCCAAGATGTTTGTGATTCTCACAGCTAGGGATAACATCAGCACCTAATCTCAAAGGTGGTGGATGGGATAAAATGTTCCTTCTAGAAAAGATCATATCTGCACTTTTTTGAGCTTTGAATTGCATCTTCCAGGTGGCAGCCCAGAGAGCAAGCTTGTCTAGATCACTTTGGATTGGCTCGTGAATATTGAAAAACACTTCATTTTTTCGTATGGACAATAAATTGAGGTGTCATCAGCAAAAATGAACGAATTTGAAACTAACTCATCAGGCAGATCGTTGATATATATATTAGAAATAGCAGGTGTCCAAGGACAGACCCCTGTGGTACACCAGAATTGATGACAAAATTATCGGTCTGCATATTAAACTCATTTTGATTATTCATACTATTGGAAGACCATTTTGAAAGGGCTCACACAAGGATCAACTTTTTTCACAGCATTTTCATTTTAAGTGATGTTTTGAAAAAATACAAAGGTAAACTCAATTTTATCTTTTATTTGTTGAAGAAAAAATAATTTTATGTTTGTTTTCTTGTTTCGACTGAAAAATCTCAATTCATCGCCCTTGCTTTGCAAGCAGGAGAGTCTACACGAGTACGAAAAGGTCTTCAAAAAGTTTATCCTTGTGTGAGCCCTACAATTATTTACTTTGTCAAAAACTTATATAATGGTTATTCGGATATATAAAAATCATTTAATAGGTAGAATAGAATAGGAATAGTATCATTGACTTTTGATTTTGAATAAAAAATTATTACGAGCATATAGTGCATTACAGGACAACCAGGACAACCCTCTATATTTATAGTGATGCAGCAGATAGTGAAGTTGATTCTTTTTAATTTATACATGTAGCTTGCAGACAGTGATTTTTGACAATCCTAGTATTGATGGTTTATCTTACGGACGTCATATTAAAAGATACCAATTTGCATTACATAAACATCAAAGAAGTTTGGTTTGATTTGTTCACAGATAAGTGTCAGAGTGATACCTGTAGCAGTTGCACTAGATTGATATACAACAAGATATGTGTGAGCATTTATTGCAACATTTACTTAAGAGTTATAATTTTACTAAATCTGATGGAAAATTAGATAATTTAAGTCTCTTTTGGTTTATTCAATTTAAATATTACTTCTGCAATACAGATACCTTAGTTTTGAAACATTAGCAGCAGTTTCATTTCAAAAAGATCAGTTTTCAACTTCGTATGTTTTGTTCATAAAATGTGTTTTCAACATAGGTCAAAAGTCAGGGTCATTTCAAGTTTAAAATATCAATATCTAGGGTAGTTGGCATTTTAAGACATTTTGCCGATGGTGTGACCCTTCACAACCAATGATTATGTGTCCTGAGGTAAAGATCAACTGAATGGGTATAGGTAATTCCAAGGTCAATATTTAGCAATTTGATGTTTTAAGGCAATTGAGAATAATTCTGACCTTTGACAACCGATTATAGGTGACCTGTTGTCAAGGTCTATAGGTGAAGATCATTTCAAGTCAAATATCAGTATCTAAGTATTTGGTGTATTTAGGCCCTGGGATCTGTTGTGGCCCCTAGCGACTCATGATAGGGTGACTTCCAAGGTCAATATCTAGCAATTTGGAGTTTAAAGGCAATTGAGAACAATTGTGGTCTTTGGCGACCAATGATTAGGTGACCTGATGTCAAGGTCATTTCAAGGTCAAAGGTCAATATCTAGGTATTTGGCAACTGTGGGGTTACAGTCCTATTTAATGACCAATGATAAAGTGACCAGCGATCCATGTCAGTGTTTATGGATCAAGATCATTTCAAGGTCAAAGCTCAATATCTAATTAGTATTTGGCGTTTTGAGGCTGAACGTGTTTTTGTGAAAACAATATGATTTTTCTTATGTAAAGTCCCCGTGATAAAAATGATATCATCCAACTTCTTCATTTGAAAAAAAACATCATGAATCCCTCAACCTTTATTTTTCAACTTATTTTTTATGATTTCACTCTGGTTTGATTCCTTGACAACGTAATGATACACTACGTGATTTTACTACTATATGTACGGGTATAAGCATCACCTGTGGTGCCACCTGTTATTAATAATATTTGTAAACATAATGCTTGAATGTATGAATAAATTAAAATTGAAAATATAAATATATGAAAATATATCTGAAATATTATTGATAACCTCCCCACCTTGTCACTTTTTCTTCTGCGCTAATGAATTAACAAATTCTGAAAGGGGGACGGGTATTGAAATGCGATAACGTTAAAAACCACAAATTCCATGTTATTTTCCATTGGAAAAACTCTAACTATCCATTGTTTTCAGCATAATTTTGGTCATTGAAAATTGATATCTCAAAAACTAGACTTTCATTACAATTCTACTAATGAAAAGGTTTTAGACCACTTGTTGAATAATATTTTCATGCAATTCAAATAAAAAAGAAGAGCCTCTGTTGAGTAAATAAGTTCAAATATTGTTGAGATGGGTTCCCTATTCATCGTTTTTTAGATTGTTCGAATGATATTTTTATTATCATTGGGAATTGAATTTTCTTGAAAGATAACATATTGTGTTTTATGAGAAATGTCATATTTATATTGAGAAAGTAGTCATGGTAAAATATATGACCGTCAGATATCACTTGCCATACTATACCTGGCTCTTTGCCAATTTGAAGTAAATTGTAAAATCATATCGGAAGAGAGGATATCCAAATATGAGGTCATTAGTTTAATTAATGACTGCAATCACGTTGACGAAGTTTTTCACGAGAGTTACATTCTCTAGTAGTTCTGAACTGGATGTGTTTCCCAAATTCAAATAATTGCAGTAAAACATGCAAAACAGAATGCACATTGGTTATTGAAATGTAAAGATAGTCCATTAGGGTATGGTTATAGTATTAAAAACAATTATGGTAAAAATTGGGTATTCCTAACCATACAATGCTTTTTATTCCAAGTTCAATGACATTCTTCCTATTTTACCTTTGAAATGATTTTCATACCACCGAATAACCATTATATCAGTTTCTGGCAAAGTAAATAAGTGTAGGGCTTACATAAGGATCAACGTTTTTTAAGACTGTTTATGGACTTGTATATCCCCTGCCGTTCTAAGAGGAAGAGCAATGAATTGTGATTGTTCAGTCGAAACAGTGAAATAAACACACTATGTTTATTTTGTTAAACATTTAACAAATAAAATTGTGTTAACCTTATATTTTTTCAAAACATCACTAAATATGAAAAGATTGCAAATAAAGTTGATCCATGTGTGAGTCCTATATTTATTTACTTTGCCAAAAATGAATATAATGGTAATTAAAATATTTTGAAAACATTGAATAGGTGAAATGGGAATATTATCATTAACAACCATGACTTTTGAATTAAGATGGCATTTTCAAGTCAGAAATATATAATTCTTCACAATTATTGTTTTTTTTATAAAAATGGCCACATCAATATCAAATTTGCTTCCTATATTGTATATCCATTGCTATTATTTGAATTTTTTTATCAAACTCATCTTTTTGATGGTTGCACCTTGTGGTAAGCCGTTTAGCCCATTCGTGTCACCTTTTTGAGTGCAGACAAGTAAAAATGAATAGTTGATGGACCAATCTATAATGATAATGGGTCACTTCATAGTAAGCTACCACAACATAGGTTTTTTGTGATTTTCTGGAGTTTTGGCACACACTATAACTTGAAAACCATGACAGTCAATTCCGCTTAACTATTTAGTTTTTCTTTTTCATTCATTTAAAATCTTTCTACACAGATAGTGCAACAAAATGCAACCTGGAATGATTGGTTGACAATGACTGGAATGAGATGCTTTTCAATCCATTTCACACAATTGGAACATACGCTTATTATAATTGAAAAGCTTTATTATTTTGGTTTGGCATATGGCCTAGTTTAATAGTTAATGAGTGGTCCGAAGAATCATTGAGCGTATCATCGCCCGTGTTCCCAAGGTAATCACGGTAGGTATTCATAAACTGTTCTTCGCTTATCTTTCCACTTTGGTCAGTATCCATGTAGTCAAACTGCATCTTTGCAAATCTCTTATCAAGGTTAAATATGTTCCAAAACACTAAATACTGGTCGAATGTAAGAAAACCAGCTGCGTTGCAATCCACAATCTGCAATCGGAAACAACTTTGAGCTCAAGGAAATTGACTGTCTGTGGAATGGTGACTGCTAAAATGCGACCAACATATAATGATAGTTTCTATGAGATCATTTTTGGCTCACACAGTGAGCCTATGGGATCGACCAGGCGTCCGTCCGTTGGTCTGTCCGTCCGTCCGTCAACATTGGCCGCACAAATTAAAACTGCTATTCGGATTGAGTCATATTCACAGTCATTTTATGCATATCCATAATAGACGAGTAGCAGGCGGCAATATTTGAAGAGATTAAACCTCCGAAAGGTTACCGGCTAATCTTGGTACCGTTGGAAAGCTTAACTTCTGCACTAACATGCTTGATGACTAAAAACATTCAGAACAAGTGGAAAAGTTCTTAAAAATGCTGGTTTCCATGGTAACTGCAATGTTGTCACTTTTAAGGCCCATGAATATACTTTTGAACATATCTAGATAACGCTTTGACCATATGTCTTGATAAAAGTATCACTGTAAAGATAATTTGACACAGTTTTTGAAAAAATGTATTTTTTGGATTATTGAACTCATTGTGATGTCATAGAACTAGAAACGGCTGATTTTTCGGTGATTTTGACAGAATTTAGACACGTGTCGTATGCTAATGTAAGCTACATTATCTAATAAAACTATTTTGTGTTTAAAAGTGACTTAACACAACACTTATATGTATATTATCGGGCAAACAATATCATTATGATTGTGATGTCATAATACAAAGAGATAGAGGCCTAATTCAAATATCTAATATCGAGATTTTTGACAAATCAAGATATATTTGAGGCATTTATACATTTATACATTTTCAATGATAATTTAAAAAATCCTCAACAATATAATGTTATGTTTAATATATCAATGAAAAGGTTACTGGCAAATCATGGTACCGTTGGAAAGCTTAGCATCTGCACTAATATGTTTGACGACTAAAACAATTCAGAACAGGTGAGAAAATTCTTTGAAATGCTGGTTTCCATGGTAACTGCAATGTTGTCACCAGTAAGGCCCATGAATATACTTTTGAACATATCTAGAGAACACTTTGACCATATGTCTTGATAAAAGTATCACTGTAAAGGTAATTTAACAAACTTGTTGAAAAAAGGTATTTTTGGATTATTGGGATCATTGTGATGTCATAGAACTAGAAACGGCTGATTTTTCGGTGATTTTGACAGAGTTGAGACATGTATCATATGCTTCTGTAAGCTACAATACTTAAAGTAAACTATGTTTTGTCTTTTAAGTGACTTAACACAACACATAGTATTAATATATCGAACAATCAATATCACTATGATTGTGATGTCATAATGCAAAGAGATAGAGGCCAAGTTCAAATATCTTATATCGAGATTTTTGACAAATCAAGATATATTTAAGGCATTTATACATTTTATATATTTTCAATGATAATTTAAAAAATCCTCAACAATATAATGTCTGAATGTCATGTTAAATATATCGATGAAAAGGTTACTGGCAAATCATGGTACTGTTGGAAAGCTTAGCATCTGTGTTAACATGCCTAATCCCTAAAATAAATCAAAACAGGTGAGAACATTTTTTAAAATGATGGTTTCCATGGTAACTGCAATGTTGTCACTATTAAAGTCCATAAATATACTTTTGAAGATATCTAGGGAACGCTTTGACCATATATCATGTTTAAAGTTTCATTGTAAAGGTAATTTAACAAACTTGTTGAAAATACATATTTTCTGGGGTTTTGGGCTCATTGTGATGTCATATAAATAGAAACGCTTGATTTTTGGTGATTTTGACATAATTCACACAAGTACATATCATGCGCTTTTGTAGCCGATAGTAGTTACAGAATAAACTATTTTGTGTAAATACATGATTTAGGACATGTTGTACAACACTTATATGTATTAGTATATCAGACAAGTAATATCATCGTACTTGTGATGTTATAATTCAAAACTTTTAGATAAAGGTATATTTCAAATATATCGAGATTTTTGACATATTCAGATAAATTTGTAGAAATCTTAAGATAATTTGAAAAGCTTCAACAATATGTCACGTTCGATACATCGTCGAAAAGATAATTCCACTACCCCATCATAAACACATATCTAAGTTTTTTTAGTGATTTCTACCAAATGTTATAATATGTGTCAAGTGTTTCTGGAGGCATATGGTGCTTATATGTAAAATTATGATAAAAAGCTTATAAAAACAACATGTATGCATCAGTATGTCAGGCAAGAAAAGTTTAGATATTTAGTTGAGACTTTAGGGTGAGATTTACTTAAAGCGCTCGGTTCCATAGTAACCATTTAATATTTTCTATATAATCAGAGATAACAGCATAGTGCGGAGTGGGCATATCTCAGTTGTTCTTGTACAATTGAGTTTTAGGATTTATTAGTACTGATGCCCTTTTAGGGCTAAATTTACAATTTACAACATACAACATACAATTTTCATTAACAGTAAAAATAGCAATAAAATAAAGAAAATAGGATTAAATTCTTCAAATGACATATTTCAAGACTACTAGTTTATGGTTCATTATTCATGCTACAAAGTTGTTGATTGAATTAATATTGGTACCCTATGAAAGCCCAAAAATATTTCTGATGTTTTATGAAAACAATATTCAAATAAGCTAATTTTCATATTAATAATGGCATCATGACCCGTAATTTTGATATATTAACACCACTATCAAATGATCACAGCCGTGGCCTGACTTTGTTTACATTTCCTAGAAACATACCAGATTTCAGTAAAAATGGTGACCCTACCCTACAGAAATGGCGATAATTAGTGCTTTAACAGTCAATATTGGCTCATTAATAGCCCTTAGTGATTCCCTAGTATGAACGGGTTGTGCTTAAATAGCCAAAATTGATTCTTAATAGCCCTTAGCAATTCCCTTATGTGCTCGGGTTGTGCTTAAATATCCCAGATTGGTTTCTCAATAGCCCTTAGTGATTCCCTTGTATCATCTAGATTGGCTCTTAATAGCCCCTAGTGATTCCCTAGTATGCCCAGGTTGTGCTTAAAATGTCCAATTGATTTCTTAATAGCCCTTAGTGATTCCTTAGTATGTTTTGGTTGTGCTTGAATAGCCCTGATTAGTGTCTTAATAGCCCTTAGTGATTCCCTTATATGCTCGGGTTGTGCCTAAATAGCCCGAATTAGTTTCTTTAGTGATTCCCTTATATGCTCAAGTTGTGCTCAAATAGCCCCAATTAGTTTCTTGATAGCCCTTAGTGATTCCCTTATATGCTCGGGTTGTGCTTAAATAGCCCGAATTAGTTTCTTGATAGCCCTTAGTGATTCCCTTATATGCTCGGGTTGTGCTTAAATAGCCCCAATTAGTTTCTTGATAGCCCTTAGTGATTCCCTTATATGCTCGGGTTGTGCTTAAATAGCCCCAATTAGTTTCTTAACAGCCCTCAGTGATTCCCTTATATGCTCTGGTTGTGCTTAAATAGCCCCAATTAGTTTCTTGATAGCCCTTAGTGATTACCTAGTATGCTCAGGTTGTGCTTAAAAAGCCCCAATCGGTCTCTTAATACCCCCTAGTGATTCCCTAGTATGCTCTGGCTGTGCCTAAATAGCCCCAATCGGTTTCTTAACAGCCCTTAGTGATTCCCTTATATGCTCGGGTTGTGCTTAAATAGCCCCAATTAGTTTCTTGATAGCCCTTAGTGATTCCCTAGTATGCTCAGGTTGTGCTTAAATAGCCCCAATCGGTCTCTTAATACCCCCTAGTGATTCCCTTATATGCTCAGGTTGTGCTTAAATAGCCTCAATTAGTTTCTTAATAGCCCTTAGTGATTCCCTAGTGTGGCCGGGTTGTGCGTAAATAGCCCCAATTAGTTTCTTAATAGCCCTTAGTGATTCCCTAGTATGGCCGAGTTGTGCGTAAATAGCCCCAGTTAGTTTCTTATTAGCCCTTAGTGATTCCCTCATATGCTCGGGTATTGCTTAAATAGCCCAAATTAGTTTCTTAATAGCCCTAATTGATTCCCTAGTATGCTCGGGTTGTGCTTTAATAACCCCAATTAGTTTCTTAATAGCCCTTAGTGATTCCCTAATATGCTTGGGTTGTGCTTAAATAGCCCATATTAGTTTCTTAATAGCCCTAATTGATTCCCTAGTATGCTCGGGTTGTGCTTTAATAGCCCTTAGTGATTCTCTACTATGATCGGCTTGTGCTTAAATAGCCAAAATTGGTTTCTTAATAGCCTTTGGTGATTTCCTTATATGCTCAGGTTGTGCTTAAATATCCCTCATTGGTTTCTTAATGGCCCTTAATGTTTCCCTTGTAATGCTCTAGATTGGTTCTTAATACCCCTTCGTGATTTCTAGTATGCTTTGGTTGTGCTCAAATAGCCCTAATTGGTTTCTTATAGCTCTTAGTGATTCCCTAGTATACTGATTCCCTAGTATGCTTGGGTTGTGCTTAAATAGTCCAATTGATTTCTTAATAGCCCTCAGTGATTCCCTAGTATGCTCTGGTTGTGCCTAAATAGCCCCAATTGGTTTCTTAATAGCCATCACTGATTCGCTAGTATGCTCAGGTTGTGCTCAAATAGCCCTTATTGGTTTCTTATAGCCCTTATTGATTCCCTAGTATGCTCGGGTTGTGCTTAAATAGCCTTAATTAGTTTCTTAATAGCCCTTAGTGATTCCATAGTATGCTCGGGTTGTGCTCAAATAACCCCAATTAGTTTCTTAAAAGTCCGTAGTCATTCCCTACAGTATGCTCAGGTTGTGCTTCAATAGCCCCAATCGGTTTCTTAAAAGCCCTTAGTGATTTCCCTTGTATTCTCGGGTTGTGCTTAAATAACCCCAATTAGTTTCTTAATAGCCATTAGTGATTCCGTAGTATGCTCGGGTTGTGCTTAAATAGCTTCAATTAGTTTTTAAATGGCCCTTAGTAATTCCCAGTATGCTCGGGTTGTGCTTAAATAGCCCCAATTAGTTTTTTA